ATACACCTGACACTAGATCATACACACACTAATACCCTCACATACACCTGACACTAGATCATACACACACTAATACCCTCACATACACCTGACACTAGATCATACACACACTAATACCCTCACATACACATACAAGGTAGTGACACTAGATCACACACACACAAATACCCTCACATACACCCACACATACACATACAGGGTAGTGACACTAGATCATACACACACTAATACCCTCACATACACCCTCACAAACACTCACACATATACCCTCACATACACCCTCATATACACCCTAACATACACCCTCGCATACACCCTCACATACACATACATAAACAATGACACACTGACATACAGATACAAGACAGACAAAATAGACACATAAACATATATTGACACACACACACACACACATGCCACGCACACAAGAACATGCAACAGAGACACAAAAACATACATACACAGACACACACACAGACACACACGAATGCACACACACAGACACACATGTATGCACACACACACACACACATGCCTGCATAGATACACACAGACACAGCCACCCACACACATAGACACACACACACACAGACAAAAACATGCAACAGAGACACACACAGACACACACACAGGCACACACACATAGACACACACATAGACACACACACACAGACACAGACACACACACACAGACACACACACAGGCACACACACACACATAGACACACACACACAGACAAAAACATGCAACAGAGACACACACAGACACACACACAGCCACCCACACACATAGACACACACACACACAGACAAAAACATGCAACAGAGACACACACAGACACACGCACAGCCACCCACATAGACACACACACACAGACAAAAACATGCAACAGAGACACACACAGACACACACACACAGCCACCCACACAGATACGCAGACAGCCACCCACACACACGAACACACATACAATCACACACATACAGACCCACACACAGACCCACACACAGACACGCACACAAAAACACACACACACAAAAACACACACACACACAGACAGACACACACACAGACACCCGACATGACACACACAGACACCAGACAGACATGCACACAGACACACACAGAAACACACACACACACACACACAGACAGAGATATAAACGGACACACAGACAGACATATAAATGGACACACAGACAGACATATAAATGGACACACAGACAG